CCCCCAGGAGGAGCAATAGTAAGACTTAGGAAGGGAAAAGAGATGGGGGGCTTGAGAAGAGGTGATGGGGTTTTGAGTATCGAGGGGGCTGGCCACCCTCGGAATGGGGAGCTGGGGACTCTACCTGCACCCTCATCTCTTCTGTACCCCACCCCACTGCAGAGCCTGAGCGAAGCCTCAAACCCTACAGCCTGGTGCGCCCACTGCTGGTGTCCGCTCTGCGGCCCGTGGTGCTCTTGCCCGAGTGTCTGGCACCCCGGCTCATCCGCAACCTGCTTGACCTGCCCAACTCCCGGCTGGACTTCCAAGTGTGCCCAGCGGGTGAGCCTGTGCCCGGGGAGGGGAGGGATGGGGAGGGCTGGGTGGCACCCCGGGGCAGCCAAGCCCACTGGCCCTTCCTCCCTGCGTCTCACTTCTCTGCAGAAAGCCTCTCTGGGGAGGAACAGTGCTCATCCTCAGCACCTGGAGCCCCCAAGGCCCAGCCTGCCACCCCTGGGCTGGGCAGCAGGCTCCGTGCCATCCAGGAGTCTGTCGGGAAGGTAGGTACTGGGGTGGGGGGCTGCCTTTCTGGGCCAGAGGGCTAGAGTCTGAGGGGCGCTGGGCAAGCCCCTGCCCTTTTCCACGGGCCTGTTTCCTCACCTGCAAGTGGGAGCGCTGGGCCAACCAAACGTGGGTCACCTTTGAGGTGTTTGGTCCGTCTCACCCGTCCATCCCGTCTCAGATTCGCCGCTACCTTGGGGGGCTGGCTAGGGGCTGCCAGGCATGGGGGTGGTGGTGGGGTTTGCTCCATTCTATCAATGGCGAAGCTGAGGTCCGGAGTGGGGATGTGACTTACTTCCCCAGGCCTCCCGCCTTCCCTTGCAGCTCTTTCCTTGTTGCCAAGGCCCTTCTGGAGAGGGATGCAGGCCCCCATGGGGGCCTGTGCCATGGGGCCCAGTGGGGGCAGGGAGGTTGGTGTCTCCGGGCCGGAGTAAAATGTAGCCTTGGTCTCCTGAGAAGAAGCACTGCCTGCTGGAGCTGGGTGCACGGGGCGTGCGGGAGCTGGTCCAGAACGAGATCTACCCCATTGTCATACACGTGGAGGTGACAGAGAAGAATGTCCGGGAAGTCAGGTAAGGAAGGGTGGGGGTGGGTGGGACCAGCCTTTCCTCCTCTTTGGATGTCCCTGTCTCTGTGTCTTTTTGTCTCTCTGCATCTGTCCATGCTCTCTCTGGCTCTCCGTAAACTGGTGTGTCTCTGTGTCCCTGCCTGTCCTGGGCCCCTGCTCTGACCGCTGCCCGCCCGCTCTCTCGGCAGGGGTCTGCTGGGCCGGCCCGGCTGCCGGGACTCGGAGCTGCTGCGGCAGTGCCATCGCTCGGAGCAGGTGCTCTGGGGGCTGCCCTGCTCCTGGGTGCAGGTGCCTGCGCATGCATGGGGCCACTCGGAGGGGCTGGCCAAGGTGGTGCGCGGCCGCATCCTGCAGGAGCAGGCCCGCCTCGTGTGGGTGGAGCGCGGCAGCTGTGCCGGGGGCGTCGGCGGCAGCAGCAGCGAGGCCTGAGGGGCCCCTTCTGGTGCCTGCGGCTTTCTCACACACCTCCGAAGCCCCCGCTGCGGACCCCGGTGTCTGCAGTGGGAGCTGGGTCCTCCTCATCCTGAGCCTTCCTAGACCCTTGGCCTCCCAGAGGTGGGGCCCCCAGCTCTGGGCTCTCCCCCGAGTGAATTTCCAGGAGCCCTCGGGGCGGAGCTCCCACCGCCCCCGTACTTGCTGCTCTGGGCCTTCAGTGCGCCCCTTGTCTCCGTGATTCCAGTTGTGGGCCCCACGCACGTGTCTGTGACCTGTTCTCCTTGCCCCCAGGAGCATCTGAGCTCTCACTCCGGTGCACTGGTTTACACACCCAGGTTCTCACGGCAGGCACATGAGGTCTCCTGGGTCCTCGTTCCCTTCTGTTCAAGGAAGCCCCTCCCCCGCCCGGCATGCCCCTCCCCTGCACCCCGCTCACGTTTCTTGTGTATACCTCCACGTGTGGGCGCCGTGGTTTCCCTGGCCCACCGGGCCCCTCGCGTCTTCTCGTCACATGTGTGTCTGTGGTTCTCTCCTGTGTAAATGTCACACCCCGTCCCGTGACACTTGGGCACTAACCCTCGTGTGTGCCCGGGGAGTACACCGAGGACCATGTTCTCACAGCGCCGTCTCCCTGCAGTGACCCGCCTCTCAGAGGTACAGTGGGGGGAAGGCCGGCTGCTCCGTCACCAGAATGTACGGCCTGTTGATTTTTAACGGGCCTTTTTCACTCAGATTCTACACATTATGGAACATTAAACAGTTTGTCATAGAAGCTGGTGGCCTTTTGCTTGCTCGCCTTCCGGGCCCCGGGCCCCCTCTCCACTCCCCCGGCTCGTCCCCTCCCCCCCCCATCAGGCTGATACCACCTCTCAGGCCCCCGCTTGCCCATGGGAAGGGTCAGATTTCGTTTCTGACTCATCCCAGAGCCGCCCGCCATCTGCTGGCATCACCTTACCTGCCCCTGAATGACCAAAGAAAGGGCCCTACAGATGGGCCCCCTCCACGCTCAGCCCTGCCTGTGTCTAATCCTCAGAGGAGCGTCCCCTGGAGAGGAGACACTGAGGATAGCAGGGTATGGTCTTGGCTTAAGGAGCTTGGCTGCTGAGTCCAGGAGACCACGAGCAAACCCTCTGTGCGCAATCAGGTCCTGAGACCATTCCACCGGCAAGAGGATGGTCCAGGCAGGGTTACCACGGGGGTTGCTGCTTCAGCTTAGGGTCTGGGATTCCTTCAAGAAGTATTTATTGGACCTCTGTGCCTAAGTGCTGTCCTTGGTCATCCTATGGCTGCCCTCTGTCCTAGTGATGAACTTGGGTCAGCCCCTGGAGGTTGGGGTGGGGGAATGGGTTACTAGGTGGAGGGAATCCCTGGAGTGAAGTCTCAGAGACAGAAAATGGGTTGAATTTGGCCACCTGTGGAGTGGTAGGAAATGAAGCTGGGAAGTCCAAGTTCAGGGGTGGGGGCTGCCTATATCTTAGTGTCTTTTGAGGTCTGGCTCAGACACCATCTCCAGGAAGCCTGCTTGATTCTGCCAGGCCTTGGGACTTTTCAGTCATGCCTTGTGGCAGGATGGTGGGTCTCTGAGGGTGGCCGTGAGCTCCCTGGGTGTGGAGACCGAGTAATGCTCATTTGGGTAAACGGACCTCCCCACTTTCTTGCTGCATGCCTGGCCCAGTGCTTGGTCTATGGACATGAGTCTGGGTGACATTGCGGGACCTCAGTGAGGCAGTTGGCTTTGTTTGGTCCCATGGCAGGTTTCCCTTTACTGGGCAGAGAAGCCCACTAACCCCTTAATTCTCACCATGTCTTAATTTTGTCTCCATTTGTTAAATGATGAAATTAAAATTCAGAGAGGTGAAGTAACTTGACCAAAGCCACATAGCTGGTAAGTAGCCCAGTCAGGATTTGAACCCTGGTCTGTGGCATGAAGCCTGGGATCGTCCCTCGGAGATGCCGTTCTGAGAAGATGGGCCACGAGGGGCCTTGGCATGGGCCTGGCCCACAGGAGGGTGATTCAAAAGGGTTGGTTCTCCTTTCCTCTCACCCCAAACGCCTACTACAGGCTTGGGCCCTAGTGGGCCCAGTCCAATTTACCAGCCATCTGGTACTTTCTTGTGTTTAATGAATATTTCTTGGGTGTGCCAGGCACTGTTCTAGGCAGTGGAGAGTCAGTGAATAAAAAAGAACCCCCTGCCCTGATATATTCATGAGAAAGACAGACAGTAGATAAGTAAAATATATAGGGTGTTGGAAGATAAAAAGGGCTATGGAGAGAACACGGCAGAAAAAGGGACCTGGAAAGGACAGGTCTGGGGGGGCTAGGAAGGAGGGGAAGAGATGATAGTGCAACTTTTTAAAAGTGGCCTGGGAAGTCCTTGTGGAGAACATGACATTTGTGTAGGTCTGAAGGAGGTGAGGGAGTGAGATGTGCAGACCTTTAGGGAAAGGCCCAGGCAGAAACAGCATGTGCAAAGGTCCTGAGGTGGGTGTGTGCCTGGACTGGCCAGAAGCCCAGTGGGTCTGGAGTGGAAGGAGCAAGGGGAGAGTAGTAGGAGGTGGGGTTGGAGGGAATGGGGAGCCAGTTCACACAGGACCTGTTGGCTGCGGCATGATCTTGGGCTTTTGCTCTGAAGGAGATGGGAGATGCAGGGCTCTAACAGGAAGGATGAGATGTGAATGACCTTGTGTCCAACCAGATGGAGGCGGTGGCTGGATAGAATGCCCTCTGTCCCTGGCCTGGCTAGGAGAGAGGCAGCAATAAAGACTGCTGAGTGAGATGGGGTGCGGTCGGCTACAGCAGGACAGGCACCCTTTGGGGCCTCCTGGGGGCCAGGTGAGACCCAGAGACCTGGGTTCGATTGGCTCTGTGGCTGAGCTGCTGGGTCATCTTCGATGGTTCTGTGCCTTATGTGCTCAGCTATCAACGGGACTAGCAATCCTCCCGCTGTTGTGAAGAGCCAAGGAGCTGAGCAAACTACTGTGGGCGCCCTGGAGGTTGGGAGGGGGGCATCCTTGAGCTGAGCCTTAATGTCCAAGTAGGATGTAGCTGGGTGAAAGGAACATGGGTGACGGTGGGGAGGATGGGGGAGGGCATCCAGGAGGAGGTACAGTGTGAGCAAAAGCTGGGAGGCTGGAGAGCAGGACACCGTAAAACAATGGGTGTTGAATGAGCTAACCTGACAGTCCCTGGGGAGTGGGGAGGCTGGGCGGCCCCTCCCTTCCATGGGGCATGGAGGGTTTGTTGTTGTCCCCACCCCCACTGCAGCAGCTGGCCGGCCCCGGGGCTGTCCCTTTGGCAGAGCCTTTTCCAGCCACCTCTGGGGCTCCCCGGGCCGGCCCCGCCCCTCGGGCTGCGCTGGAGGCAGGGGCGGGGCCAGGCGTCCCGGAGCCGGGCGGGAGCGCGCCGGGAGCAGGTGGAGGGCTGGCGGCGGCGGCGGCGGCGGCGGCGGCGGGGCTCGGCCTCCCCGGCCAAAGCACCGGCTCCCACCTCTCCCCTCCTCGCCTGCCCCCCCCACCCCCCGATGCCTACCAGACTTTTGCCTGGGCCGGGGCCCCTGCCGAACCAGCCTCGCCTCCCTGTCGGGTGGGGATTCGGGGGCTGAGCTGTCTGGGGTCCCAGGGCCAATGCAGTGCCGCCTCGTCCGGGGCCTGGCGGGAGCCCTCCTCACCGTTCTGTGCATGGGGCTCGTCTCCCTACGGTACCACTCGAGCCTGTTTCCACAGAGCATGCGGGAGACCCCCGGACTGAGCCCGCCAAGCCCTCTGTCCCCCGAGCTGCGGCTGCACGATGTCTTCATTGCAGTCAAGACGACCCGAGCCTTCCACCGCTCCCGCCTGGAGCTGCTGCTCGACACGTGGGTCTCCAGGACCAGGGAACAGGTGACAAGTGGGCGACTGCGGGCCCCAGGAGTGGGCCCTGGCCTGAGGGACTCCTGGAGGCCTTTCTGTTGGGCTGGGGTCCCTGGCGGCCTCCAGGGAGAAGCTGCCCGCCCACCTGCCCAGTCTGGGCTTGTCTTCCCGCCCCTCCTTCCTCTGGGGACCAGCGGCTCCTGCCGCCCGGCCTGGGCCCCTCGCTGGCCCTGGAGCCAGGTGCTCCTGAGGCCCCCTGCTCCATGTCTTTCAGGGGCCAGGCGGGGCCCCTGCCCTAGGCTCCTCAGTCCCTCCTGGCTCTTCTAGCACAGTCTTTGCTCCTGCCCACCTTGGCCCAGACTGGCGAGGGGGACAGCGGGGAGGTGCAGGGTGGCCGGGGTAGAGGCGTCTGCGGGGGCCTGACTCGGACGTGTGCCCAGGCCAGGCTGCCCCCCAGCCCAGGCCTGTTGTCCCGCTGCTTGGGCTGCTCGGGCTGCTCGGGTGGAGACCAGGGGCTGAGCCGCTGAGAAGGCAAAGGTCTTGGGGGAGCCTGTTCAGGGAGAGGGGTGGGATGGGGGGGCATCAGAATTCCTGGCAACCCCCCCGCCGCCGCTGCTACCCGGGGTGTGCCCAGCGCAGTGGCGCCTCATCTCCTGTGCTCCTTTCCTGTGGGGCAGTTTCGGATGGAGGGGGGAGGTCCGCTGTGACGGTGGTGACCAAGCGATGGCGGGGAGAGGTTAGAGGTCTGCCCAGCACGCATGTGCGTGTGTGTGTGTGTGTGTGTGTGCGCGCGCGCACTCCTGCAGGGAGCCAGAGTGTCCTCGTTAGACGGGCTATGACAAGAGGTGTGTGGATGATGGGGCCGTATGGCTTATGTCTTTCTGGGGACAAGCTGAGTCCCTCTGGCTCTTGCCCTCCACAGACCCAGTGCCCTCCCCAAGCAAAGTCAGTGATTTAGGGGTGTTGGGAACCATCTCTGGGGGAGGTGAAGGGTTAGCTTTACGCACACGTGCACACACACACACACACAGCCCCTACTGTGGTGACGGGCTCAGTGGGAGGAAGTGACTGGGCTTTTGGAGGGGACTGCGGGCTCCTGGGAGGCCAAGGAGCAGGGGAGGGGATGTCTGCAGGAGCCCAGGGCCTTCTGGGGAGGGGCACCCCCACTCCCCGATTTCCTGACCATGATGTCTTAGCACCCTATTTAACCCTTTCTCCAGGGGGACCCCAGCACCCAGGTTCTTCCCTGGACCCCCCACACACAGCTTCTCATCTTGGGGAGATTCTGGTTCCTCCTGCGGAAGCCACTGAGCCTGGCCCTGCCCACAGACCTTCCTGTTTATGGTGCTGCGTCTGTGTACCCGGGAGCCTGCCTCACGTGGTCTGAGGCCCCTTCCTGCCTTGTCTTGATCACCATGGTGGTGCCCTTGCCCCGGATGAGGAAACTGAGGCCAGAGGGAGGAAGTGCTTGTCAACGTCACTCCGAAGGCTTGGGGGCGCAGAGCCCAGTGGGACCCAGCCCCCTCCTCCTGGCTGGGGCCCTTCTTTCTCTGCTGAGACCCAGGATCCCAGAGCTGCCTTGTCGCTGGGCCACAGGAGAGGGTCCTGGGGCCCCCAGCCTGAGTGGGCCTGGCAGGACCAGGTCAGCAAAGGCGAGGAAGCAACCACCCACTGTGTGCCTCAAGCTCAATCCCACATGCCCACTGCTCAGCACCCAAGGGGCTGCCCATCAGATGCCTCACTCTGTTTAACCCCCACAGCAGCCCCGAGTGGGAGGTATCGATAGGCCTGTTTTATAGGCGAGGAAACAGCACAGTGAAGCTGAGGTAGGAGATGAATTCACTCAGTTGCGCGACACCCCTCCACCCCCAGCACAAGGGGCAGAGTCGAGAAACCTTGTCCTTTATGTAGGGTTGAGGAAAGGAAGGATGCTCACACCGAGGAAGAGGAGGGGAGGCAGGGAGACACACGCTTACCGCACACTGCATCTGGGGCTCATTTGTCTCAACCCTTTGGCGCATCTCTTTCTGTGACCTTGGCTGAGACCCTCCCCCTTTCAGCCCTCAGTTTCCCCATCTGCACAGGACAGGAGGGTCTCTGAGCCTCTCTTAGCTCTGCCCTCAGCAGTGGGCCTGAGCTAGTTAACTCCAGGGCCGGGCGCCCCCCCCAGCTGGTTAAGGGCGGCCGGGTGGCAGGTGGGCCTTTGTGGTGGCAGGCTGGGGCTCGTGTAGCCTTTGTCCCAGGCAGAGGGGGTGGGCTGGGGGAGGCTCCGTGGGGAGCCTTTCCCTTCCCCACAGACCCCTCGAGGGCGGTGGGTGGGGGGTGAGGGCTGCAGAGCCTGCCCCACATCTTCCTTCCTTTTCACCAGATGGCCCCCAGTCCCCTCTCGCCTGACCCCAGCGGGCTGCCTATCCTTTTGTTTTCCTGTGAGGTTTTAACCATTGTCAGAGTCTCCTCCTTAAACAAATTAAATGCAACCCTTGGCTCAGAGGAAACTCTGCCCACCGCTCTGTGCCAATCTCAGGGTTCCCAGGGACTGGAACACCGGCCTCATGCGCCCTGCCCAGCCCCCAGCCCTGCAGCGGGACCCCCTCCCTCCCCCTTCCCCTACTGATTCGGGGCTTATTCATCCATCAGCAAACATGCCCTGGCCCATTTGGCCCATGCTCCAAACTCCAGAGAGTTCCACTATCTGGTGGATGTTTGGTGGCAAAAGTTTCCCAGGGAGCAGGGCAAGAAAGGCCTGATTTACTTCCCTGGCTCCCTGGGGGCTGTGTTGAAAACAGACTTGGGGTGGGGACAGGACAGCAGAGAGACCAGGGCAAGGGTGACTGTAGCAAAGCAGGCAGGAGATGACCAGGGAGGGGCTGGGCCACCAGTGGCCGTGGAGGCTGCTGTGGAGAGGTCGCATCCTGGGTGATTTGAAGGTTGGGTGGGTGTGGGGTGTGAAAGAGAGGAGGCGTGGCGACCCCAGGGTGTTGGGTCCCAGCAAGATGGGGAGCACCGAGAGGAGCATAGGTCCAGGAGGAGCTGGGGCACTGAGTCTGAGGCACCCGGGGAGAAGTTGTGGCTGCCGTGGGGTTTGATGGCTTCTTGCTGAAAGCCGAGGGGCTGGAGAGCATCACTGAGGCAGTGGGCGGGACAGAGAAGAGGGCCAGCATCGGGCCACCAACACTTTCTGCAGCGACATCCAGGGACCTCCAGTGTTAGCTAAATCTGAAGGTGGGAGACACACCCCAGGGAGGGGGGCTCAGGAAGTGGATGCTGCCCAGGTCTCCTGGACAGGGAGATAAATCAGACCAGGCCTGTGCCCTTCAGGATGTCACTGTCTGGTGGGAGAGACCAAAGGATAGATTTTCATTACCAAGGGGCTGTTGTTACTTACCATCAGCAGGAACAGGTGGCTGAGGGGCACGTGGGAGGGGTGTCAGGGAAGGCTTCCTGGAGGAAGTGATGACTGAACTAGGAGTTGGGGGCAAGAAATGGGCACAGCCTGTGCAAAGGCTCAGAGGGGTGTGCATGTGTGTGGCACATTTGGGGAACTGAAAGACCTTTGGATTTAAGAGAAGGGGTGGGGCAGGAAGTGGTGGGATAGGCTGCATCAGGCACAGGGGCTGGGTGGCCCCTCATGGCCACACTTAGGAGGCTGGCCTTTATCCTGAGGGCAGTAGGGAGCCACAGAAGGTGCTAGGCGGGGTGGTGGGTATGGGTATTATCTGATTCTGGTCCTGACAGGAAAAGAGATCTGAAGGTCTTGCCCTAATCCGTTGAAAGATAATGGCTCAGAAGGCCCATGGTTGTGGACTCTTGGGGAGACAGGACTCATTCCCTTGTGCCCCTTCCTGTGCCCAACCCTGGCTTCTGGTCTCTGGAGCCTCAGTTTCCCCCGAGATAAGAAGCGGAGCCTGGCTTCGCTGCCACCTCTTTCTTCTTCTTTCTCACATTATCTCACTTTACTGTCACAGCTACTGCTCGCCCCCATTTTCCGGCCAGGTAAACTGAGGCTCAAAGCAGGGGCTGATCTGATCTGAAGGGCTAGTTCCTGGAAACCACGGAGAAGTTTGTGGCTGAGCAGGGAGGGGCATGCCGTTGGAGGCCCTGAGTCTGGAAGGAGGACAGGGCCAGCCCCAGGGTGGCCCGAGTGAGGGATGGGGATGTTGAGGGCCTTTCAACAGGTGGGGTGCTTTCTTCTTGGTCCTCCCTTGGAAAGAATTCAAAATTGTCCAGGCCCTGGACAGGGCCACCTAAGGGTCAGAGGAGGCTCTCGCTGTGCTTGGCGGACAAGAGGACCTGCTCAGGCAGGGAAAGGTGCATGTGCTGGGCAGGGTGTGGAATGGGGGTTAGACGGGTCCCCGGCTGTGGGTCTGTCTTGCCACAAGCTGCTTCTCATTCGTCTCTCATTCAGTTTGTGTTCAATTTATCTAGGGCTTGAGTGGCCTCTACCTGCCTGGGGCGTGGTGAGGAGAGATCCAGGGCCTGTGGGTCCAAATCCCAGCTCAGCAGTTGCCAACTGTACAACCATAACCTGTCCCTTAGCCTCAGTCTTGCCATCTGCGAAGGGGACAGATTATGACACCTGTCTTGAGGTTCAGTGAGGTCATCAGGGACCAGGAATTGTGCAAGCCGCTGGTGGGCTGCTTCTGCAATCTGGGAGAGCTGGGGTTGGATCATGATGTAAAATTTCTGAGATGTGTAAGGATCCTGCACCTGCCCAGGGAGTCTGTGTGGCTGTGAAAGCCATGGCCATCTCCCCAAGCAGCTGTGCTGTCCCAGGGTGTGGGTCTTTCCACGCAGAGTCTGTGCCCTGACAAAGTGTCTCAGGTTGTGTACGTGTGGTGATGGAGGGGCCGAGTGGGACTGCAGTGTGTGTATGTGTGTGGGATAGAAGAGGGTGTGACTCTGGGAGGGTCCCCATGGGCGCTGGTCTGCAAGGGTACTCGTGCAAGTGACGTGGTCGCTGGTGTGCGGTGTGAGGCTGTGTTGTGTGTCTTGTCAGGGGAGTAGCTGAGAAAGTCATGGTGTCTGAAAGGAGTGTGTGATGATGTTGGGAGGGGGTGTGTCTGTCACTGCCGGAGGATGGAGCTCTGACAGGTGCTTCAGCAGGGGCGTGCCTGCGGGCTGTCCTTGGTCGACTCCGGTCCTGACTCCTCTTTCTCCTTAGACGTTTGTCTTCACCGACAGCTCAGATGAAGGCCTCCAGGAGAGACTGGGTAAGTCCAGGTGGGGCCCCTCAGCTGTTTCCAGGGAAAGCTGGGGCGGCTGTCCCCTGGCCTGGGGTCCCCAAGAAACAGGGCTGCCCTCTCTTGGCATGTGGGGATTCCCCTTTGCCCAGGAGGGGAGCAGGCTTCTTCCCTGGAAGCGGGTGTGGGTGTGAGGAGGGGCTGTTCTGGACGGTACCCTGGACTCGTGGGTCCCAGCCCAGCCTCCTGTTCATTAGCTCTGGGGCCCTGGGGAGTCAGCCCTCCCTGGTCAGTTTCCCCATGCGTAAAATGGGAATGGGTGGGCCGCTCCAGGCTGAAGTCTTGCTCTGCATTCTCATGGTGTGCTGGGCTGTGGGGAGGACCTGGGTAGGGTCCCCTGACTTGTCCCCGCTTCTCCAGGGTCCCACCTTGTGGTCACCAACTGCTCTGCTGAGCACAGCCACCCCGCCCTGTCCTGCAAGATGGCTGCTGAGTTTGACACCTTCTTGGCCCGTGGGCTGTGGTGAGTGCCCCTGGGTCTCTGGGGCCAGGTGTGACCTTTGCCTCAGGCTAGTTCCTGAATAGGGTGTTGTGTCAAAAAATGAAGTCGGCTGGGTCCTGTGAATTTAATCATGTAAGGGCCTCCTGGGGTCTGTCTCTGGGCAGAAGATGGTCTGGGTTCAAGTCTTGCCATATCCTGACTGTGTGACCTTGGGCAAGTGTCTTAACCTTTCTGAACCTCGGTCCCCACCTGTTAAGTGGGCACACTCTCCTTGGGAGCTCACACAAGATGCTATCAGGCTCAGAGCATGGGCCTTCAGTGTTAGCTACTCTCACTGCCAAATTTTGTTGACTGATTATGGGGGGCATGGGGGAGTCTGGCTAGCTGGTGGCCCTTGGGAACCCTCCTCCAAGCTTACCATCCCCCTTCTGTCCTCACAGGTGGTTCTGCCACGTGGATGACGACAACTATGTGAACCCAAGGGCACTGCTGAAGCTGCTAAAAGCCTTCCCGCAGACTCACGATGTCTACGTAGGCCGGCCCAGCCTGAACCGGCCTATCCGCGCTTCTGAGCCGAGGCCCCACAACCGCACGGTGGGTCCCTTCCTTCCTCCTTCGTGCCTTGGCCGTGGGTGTTGGCTGTGGCCAGGCCGGGGGGCGGGGCCAGGCCGGGGCCAGGGCCCTTGCGGAGTCAGGTGGGTTTTCCCACTTTCTCATTTGGTCTCCTTGCTGTGTGTTTGGGTTGGTGACTTTGCCACCGATCTTGTCTTCTCCTCTGAAACGGAGAGACTGAGATAATGCAGTGAGGCGCAGACTCTGGCACACAGGAGGGCCCCAGTCACTGAGGAGCAGGGGCTCATTCTGGTCACGCAGTGACAGGGGTGTGTGGGGTGGGGGGGGTGTGTGTTGGGGGGTTGAGCTGAGGCTGCCTGACTCCATGGCAGGGCTCCTAGCCCCTGGTATTGTCATGTAGTTGTACAGGCTGTTCAAATGCCCGATACTGCTGGGCTGCGCGGTAAATTGCGCTGCCCCCCAGCCCCTGAGCGCTCCCCTCCCCTCTGCACCCCTCCTTTCTCCAGACTTCACTGACCAGCAACTAAAGAGGGGACACCTGGGCACAATGGGGTCCCTAGCACCAGCTTCATTCAGCTCCAGACCTAGATGGCTGCTAGTGAGGGTTGTGAGATTTAGGAAACAAATAAACCAAAAATCAGGATAATAGTTAAATTGAACTTGCAGATAAACACGGAAGAATTCTGTAGCATAAGTATGGAGCACGGTTCTCTCCTGGTCCCCAGGACCCACCAGGCTTCTGGTGTTGGTGTGACCCAGGCCCCTAGGGGGCTCCCTTGGCCCCAGGGAAAAGGCTAGTCAGGGGGCCCCCCCTCCCTAGAGGCAGCACGTGGCGCAGGAGCTGGGCCCGCAGTGGGGCTCTCTGCCTCCCCGGCTCACCATCTGCTGCGTTAGGGAAACCAAGAGCAGGAAGCACACAACCTTAATTATCAGTGGCTAATCGGCCTCTGAGCCCTAATTAAATCCTCCTGGGCCCTGGGGGTGTGTGTGTGAGTTGACTGCAGGTGAGCGAGGGGTGCCCCAGGCCCGCACACCACCACATGCTTGGCGGTAGGGGTTGAGCACGCGGCTCTGGAGCCCGGCTTCCGGGCTTCACACGCCATCTGCCACCTCCTGGCTCCCTGACTTTTGCTCAAGTCACCCCACCTTTCTGTGCCGTAGTTTCCTCGTCTGCAAAATGGGTGATAACCATCCCCACCTAATAGGGTGGTTGTGAGCAAAAAAGGGAACAATTCAATGAGGTCACCTACCCAAGTGCTTGGAATGGGACCTGGCACGTGATGACACTAGTAAGTGTCAGCGATTGGTACCCAACCCAGCTACACCTGCGTCCCCCGGCCTCCTGCTCACTGGGCAGGTTCAGCACCTGTTGAGTACACGCAGGCCCTGACCCCACAACGTGCACTAACACCCTCCTTGCACACACTCCATCGGCAGGATCCTTAGACTCTGCCCCAAAGTGTCCCAGCCTGTTTGGATTCTGGGATACCCCCCGGGTTGTGTGGTTGGGGGAGGGGAACAGCAAAAGGGGGCAAGAGTTCTGGCTCAGGCTCAGTCCCAGCTCTGGGACCTCAGGCTGGTGACCACCCTTCTCTGCACCTCGTCACCTCGTCTGTGGCCCAGGATGCCGTATAGCAGTGCTCAGGGTCATAGGCACTTCTACTGTTAATGCCGTCGCTCCTTTAATTATCTGGGAACAGAAGCCCTGGGCCTGTAGGTCATTAAACGAGCATTCACTGGGCACCTCCTGTGTGTCAGGTCCTTAAGAACCCGTTCATTCTGCTTCGAGGCCTGACCTCTAGCTAAGAGGGAGGCGTTTCGAGAAGCAGCTCATAGAGATCTTTAGGAGGAGGACACAGGGCTGGCCGCACTGGAGCAGAAGTGCTCACAGGTGACAAATCTGAGGCCCAGAGAGGAGCAGAGACTTTCTCAAGGTCACACAGCTGGGAGGAGTGGAGGAGGCTGAGGCCCCAGAGTCAGGCTTCCCAGTTTCCTGCCCTGGATTCTTCTTACTGTTGCATCATGGGAGATAACCCAACCCCATGCACCGTGCATCAGTTAAGCACCAACTATGTACTTGGGAGAAGGTAACTGTAGGGAACTCGCTGGTCAAGATATAGTACAGCGGAAAGGGAGCAGGGTTTGCCAAAAGCCTTAGAGAAATTCATGAGCTGTGACTTCACGAGGCCTCACTGACGAGGCAGGGGCAGAAAGTGATTTAAACCCCAAGGGAGGTTATTGGTTCCTGAGACTGAGAGGTCAAGGGGTTTGCTGGCCTTGGGGCCGTCATTCTCTCTCTACTCTGCGAGCGGCCGCCATCTTTCTTTGTGCAGAGTTTTCTCAGTCCCAGGACCTGGAAGTGGTGAGGCCAGTACAGGTGGCTTGGCACCGGGGGCTTTGGGACTACCGCTGCCAAGACTGGTGACTCTGTGGAAAGCAGCTCTTCCCCCTAGGTAGCCTAGGGAGCTCAGGGAAGAACTCGGATTGGCTGGCCTAAGTCATTTCCCGTCACTGAGCCAATCACGGGCTCAGGGGGTGTGGCCTTGTGATCCACCCTTCCTGCCCCACCTCTTGTGGCCCAGGGGAGCAGATGCTGTATTTGGCAGCCCCCCCGCCCCGAACCACCTGGGGTGAGGTAGAGGCATTCCGCTGGGGAAAGGGGTAAGGTGTGCTGGGTGGACAAATAGGATACGTAGTCTCTTTAACTGAAATCCAGCCAGACTGGGGTCTAATTGGTGACTTTTAATTTATTAATTAATTTAATTAATTTAATGAATTAATAATTAGCCATGTGACTTTGGGCCTCGGTTTTCTTGTCTGTAAAATGGGCATAATAATGTCAGGCTGTCGCAAGACTTTAGTGAAATGTGAAATGAAAAGCTTTTGAATCATGCTGGTTGGGGGGTGAGGGAGGGCCCGGGCGTTGCCCCCACCCCCAGGCTCACCCTGCTCCTTGGCTCTCCCCACCTCTCCCGCCAGAGGCTGGTACAGTTCTGGTTTGCCACCGGGGGTGCTGGCTTCTGCATCAATCGCAAACTGGCTTTGAAGATGGCCCCGTGGGCCAGGTAAGCAAAGCCCCACCGGCGGGTGGGGGAGAGTAGGGCCTGGTATGTGTGGGGGGCTTTGCAGCAGGAAGGGCTTAAGAGTGAGCTCAGGAGAAACTGCCTCTCATTCATGCTGTGTCACAGAGTTACACAGTTAGTGGTGAGCAAGCCACCTGCCATCCTGCCCTCAGGGCACTCTGCCACACACAGGCAAGTTGTATAATCTCTGGGAGCCTCAGTGACCCCATCTGTAAAATGGACCTGATAATATGATCGCTAATGGTTGGTGTGAGGGTGAAATGGGAAAATGTTTGGGCTGGTACCCGGTCCCCAGTGTCACAGGGGAGGTGAAGGCCAAGTGTAGAGGCATTCAGAGGAAGGAAGTAGGGCCTTCTGCCTAGGGACAGAAGGAAGGTTTCCTGGAAGGGGTGGCCTTTGAACTGGGATAGCCTTAGAGGTCCCCGAATGAAGGGGTTCCTTGGGGTGGTGGAAGCCCCCAGTATGGGATGAGGGTACTGGTATTCTAGAGAGGAAGTGGCAAAGGCCTGGCCTCTCGAGATCTGCCTGGACAGGATGTTGTTATTAGCAGCAACATCCGTGTCGCTACCTTGTTTTGGGGGCTGACTCTGAGCCAGGGCTGCACTTCACTGGGGAAGAAGGTGTGTCAGCCTTGTTTCCACAGCTAAGGAGACCGAGGTGTGAGAGGTTGGGCAAGTGACTGGTCCAAGGTCACCCAGATCCGAGGTCACTCAGCTGCTGGGTTTGGCTCCAAGGCCTGTCTGCTTTGCCACTATACCACCCTGGCGTGCTCTGACCTGGACGAGAGGGGTCCTCCCGGGGGGACCTCGGGCCCCAGTTGGGAGTGGTAGTGCTGTCCTAGGACATGTCCACAGCAGGTGTGTACACGTGACCAGGGGTCCTCCCTGTGCCCAGTGCCCCCATCCGGGCTTCTGCCCACCTTTATGGTATATTTGTGTGAATTGGAAAAGGTACCCCCCTTGGGCAGGTGCAACCCTAGGGCACAGCCTGGGGTGGGAAGGGAAGGCTGGGTTTCTGCACCCACTGAGCCTCTCAGGGAGGCGTTCTGTGCAGCGGCGCGGCCTGCCCAAACTGGCCCCCAGGGATGTTCATGGGGCATGCAGTCCGGTGATGTCCTTCCCTGGGACACTGCCCCTTCCCTCCTCCACATCTGGCTGACTCCAACACATCCTGTAAGACTCTATTTAAAGCCTGCCATTGTCATGATTAAATAAAAAGCAAAACAAAAGACTGCCACCTCCTCTGGGAAGCCCACCTTACCCTCCCTGTGTCTCCCAGGCCTCATGCTTCCCTCTGACTTAGTGCCAGTCCTACTCTGAAATGACCTGTTCACTGTCTCCCCTCAGAATGAGGGCTGCTGTCGAGGGCAGGACACTTTTTCTTCTCATCTCTGTATCTGCAGCCCTAGCCCGGTACCTGGCTCCGGGTAGCTCCTCGAGGCTCAGCAATGGATGAATGAGTGAATGAATGTAAAGAGAGGAAGGGATACATTTATAAAGGGCTACTTCTTGCCATTCTTCCACTTAATCTTCACAATAGCCCAGTGAGGGCACGGCCATTCTCATGCCCATTTCACAGAAGAGGATGCTGAGGCTCCCCGGGTTTGTGGCCTGCCCGAAGTCACCCAGTGCACAAGAGGCTCTGCTCTGCCCATGGACCCCGGTGGAGGGAGGGCCTTCTGGGAGGCAGGGGGAGCTCTGCGCCAGTGGCCACAGCACGGCTCTGTCTCTCAGCGGCTCCCGCTTCGTGGAAACGTCTGCCCTCATCCGATTGCCTGATGACTGCACTGTGGGCTACATTGTCGAGTGCAAGCTAGGTGGCCGCCTGCAGCCCAGCCCCCTCTTCCACTCCCACCTGGAGACCCTGCAGCTGCTGGGGGCTGCCCAGCTCCCAGAGCAGGTGAGCTGGCCCCGGGGCAGTGGGGGAAGGATGTGTGGGGGGAGGGCTGTCCCATACTGATGGGGAAACTGAGGCTCAAGGTGGGAAAGGACCCTCGGACGGGCCCACAGTGACTCAGCCCTCTCCACCTCCAACCCGCAAGGGTTAGCGTTTGTGATGCTCAAATTCTTTGGTCTGGTCCCCGAACGCCAGCTGGAACGACCTGCACAGACCAGGTGAAGCTTGCCTTCAGGTTCAGACCACTCCCCTCCCTACCTGCTCTGCTCCCTCTTGTCTCTCTGTTCCTTCTTCCGTCTTCCACCCCCCCCCCCACGTCCCTCCAAAGGGGTCAGGCCTGCCCTTTCCAACTCTGCCTGTCAGTTGTCCTGCCTTCACCAAAGCTTACCTGTCTGCTGCCCCCCTGCTTTCTTTCTAACCCAGATGTTGCTGAGAAAGAGCAGGTGCTTAGTGGGAAACCTCAGGCATAATGTCTGGCTGGGGGAGGGGCACCCCATTCTACCACCTGGCAAACAATGATTCCACGGAGTTCCAGCTGGCTCTGCCTTGCACACACAGCCCTCCTACTCATGGGTGGCCCGTTCCGTAGGGATCCTGGCTGGGAGGGCCCTCGGGATCCTTCACCCAACAGTGCGAGTCAGAACACTTTGGCAGCAAGGGACACAAATGCAACACAGACCAGTCGAACAAACAAGGACACGTATGGGCTCATGAGCCTGAGAAGCTGGGGGCCGCCTTGCTGGTTCTGGCTGAGTCTGCGTGCTCAGACTGTCCCCACTCTGGTCTGTCTTCCCTGACATTGGGCTTACCCACAGGCAGGCGAGATGGCAGCTCCAGGTTTCCACCCCACCCACAGGAGGAGAGCTCCTCCTGCCACATTCCAGGGCTGGTGCTCATTGCTTGGAAGGCCTGCTTGTGTCACATGACCCGCTTCCTACCAGGGCCAAGAGTTAGTGTTGATTCGCCAGGCCTGGAACTGGGGTGTAGGGTTGGCCCCAATAAGACCGCAAGGCTTGAAGCCAGGACAAGGGGGCAGATTTTGGGCAGCCAAAACCAGGTACCCTAATGGCTGGATTTTCAGAATACCCACCACACAAGGCACCGTGCTGGGGTGGCTTTATTTGCTTTAACTCTGTTTCCTTCCAGCATTTGCATGAGGTCAGCACTAATATTCCCATTCTGTAGGTGGGGAAACTGAGGCCCAGAGAGCTGAACATAGCACAGCTAACATAAGGCAGAGGGGGGATTTGAACCCTGCCCAGGTGGCCCCTAAGTCCACAGTCTTTAACTACTGTGGTCCACTGCCTCTTGACGAGGGGCGTTATCCCATGTCCTCATTGTATGTGGAGTAACCCAAGGCTCTGGGTAGAGAGGGAGTGTGAAGACCCCATGGTGAGTCTCAGGAAACCTCTGTCCAGGCATGGACTTTACTGGAGCGGTGCCTTCCCCTCTTGAGACTCAGTTTCGTAGTCTATAGGCAAGGGACTCGTTCCATCCTCTCAGGTGAGGTGGATAGCTGGGGAAGCAAATAGGGTCTGGGCACGATAGTGCCCTACAAGCTTGAAGCGCCTTGCGGAGTGGGGTGGGCTCCTCAGTGAGTGCTCAGGGTGGAATTTCAGGGGCCAAGGCAGGCTCTCTGCGCCCCTCAGAATGTCTTATGGATCTTCCCTGCTTCTGGCCCAATACCGCCCCCTTGTGGGGTCCCCAGCGGGACACCCCGCCAACCTTCACTTTCTTCTCTGCTTTTCTCTGCCCAGGTCACCCTCAGCTATGGCGTCTTTGAGGGGAAGCTCAATGTCATTAAGCTACAAGGCCCCTTCTCCCCTAAGGAGGACCCTTCCAGGTGAGTCTGGGGGCTCAAACTGCAGGATTGGAGGAGGGGTTGAGTCCAGGCATAGGGGAACCTGGAGGGAAGGTAAGCCCTGGAGGCTGACAGCGCGGAGCCAGGAGTGGAGGGAGGGGATTTCAGTCTCTGCTCTGCCCCGGGATTGCTGTGTGACCTTGGGCAAATACCTTGCTTTCTCTGGGCCTCAGCCTCCCCATTTGTAACACAAGGAGCTGGGTGTCATGGATCTGAAGGGCTCTCCCAGCCCTGATCCTCTGGGGTTCTTCAGGAGCCCCTGGAACACTGGAATGTCTTCACTGGGCAAAGGAGATGCTCTAAGGGCAGAACTTCAGGCCCCGATGGGAAATTTTTTTTGAGCTTTTGTAGGCTCTCTGTGTCTCTGATACTCTTCAGTGGTTCTTTTCAGTAGGTAGATGGTTGGAAAGGAGGCTAAAATGGCGCCCAGGCACCTTCCGGTTCTGTCGCTACACAGGCCACAGGGAGGCTGAGGCTGTTCCGCTCAGGCCTGGCTGCTGTAGAGCATCTAGGTGCACAGCCTGTGACACGCTGTGGTGGGAGGACAGGCCCGCCCGAAGGAAGTAGCGGCAGCCATTGTGGCTGAGATGCAGGAGGAGAGGGGGCAGGGGACTCCCCAAGGCCTTGGGGGCTCTGTCGGGCCTTCGGATTTATCTGGAGTACGGAACCCTTGGGGGAACTAGGACTCCTGGCTCTGAAGTCCCGCAGAGCTGTCTGTCGGGGGCAGAGAGCTCACGACTGTTTAAGGGGCCCTGGGGCCAGGGCTGTGTTGAACAAGTTAGACATTACAAGGAGACAGAGTTTGGCTCAATATAGGAAAAAAAATTCACATTTCTGAGATGAAAGGAATCGCCTTCTCTTGGAGTGAGCTCCTCATCGGTGGAAGGGCACAAGTTATGGCTAGACTACCAAGAGGTTTAAGAGTGGATGGGAAATTCTCTTTGAGCCCGAAGATTCTAGAATCCAAAGGTTCCTGCCTAATAGGGCTGGAGCCGACTGGGGACTCAGATACACGTGATCAGATAGTCTGGCCTCAGCTGGGGTCTCTTTGTGGCATCTCTGGCCTCTGAAGTCTCTCTGAACCGGTGGTTTTCATGAGGGGCCACCCCCCTGGGGACATCTGGCAACGTCCGGAACCACTTTTGATTGTGACGACTCAGGGGGGTTCTCCTGGCTTCTCGCGGGTAGAGACCAGGGGTGCTGCTAAACATTGGACAATGCACGGGACACCCCAAGGCCAAGACTTATCTGGCCCTAAGTTTTAAGAGTGCCGAGGGGGAGAAATCCGGCTCCAAACCGTCTCTGTGACATGTGCTCTCCCAGGAACCTGTGGAGTGAGCGTGGGAGTCAGGTGACCATTTGTCCATTTCTGGTCTCTCCACAGGTTCCGTTCCCTCCATTGTCTCCTCTACCCAGATACTCCTTGGTGCCCACAGCTGATGGCCAGATGAACCCTGAACGGCTGGGCAAAGTTTGGGCTGAGGCTTCTGGCTGTCCTTGGCCTCCCCAGGCAGCCCTGGGGACTCGTGGCAAGTGCTCTTTGGTAGGGAGTCCCTGGCAGGGCCTCTGAGTTGTGGGTCAGCCCAGGATTGGATGGTGGCTGGCGGTGAAGGCGTCCTAAGCCCCTGGGAGGTGGGTTGGACAACCCAGAGAACAGGTACACCAGGCGAGGGCCAGAGAGGCCCGAGGGGCTGGTCTTCTATGGGCCTTGGGTGGCTGAATTGAACAAGCATGGAGGGCCCTTGAACTGGGTTGGGGCTCAGGGGTCCTAACCCTCCAGAGAATTACATGGGCCCTCGGGTGGGGTCTGGCCTCCACCCTCAGCTCTGGTCTCTGTCATTCCCCTGGGGTCAAGCACTGGGCCACCCACTCCTGGCTCCCTTGGCTTGTTCCCCAACCCCTGAGGGGACCCAGGTGGAATAAGGGCAGAGCCCGGGGTCTGTGGCAGGGGCTGTCATTGCTGACCAGTGTCTAGCTCCTTGCTCCGACCCCTTGCCAACAGATCCCATTTTGCTTGGAGTTATCAGCGTGCCCAGACCCTGATGGTGGATCATGATGGATCCCAGCCCTTGGTGATGATCCTTTGGCTCACTTTCCCAGCCTCCCTTGCTCAGTCTGTTAGTGCGAATTAAACAAAGCCAATAGAGAGGCTTCTGGGGAAGACTTGGCAGTCCCGTACCCCATACCTTTATGCTGCGAATGTGGATGTGATGTCTGGATCTGGGGCGGTTGTCTTGTTATCATGAAGGAAAGGCCATGACAATCAGGCACACCTGTCCCTTTTGGCATCTGGTTCTGTGAGAAAATTAAACCCTTACTTGTTTCAACTTCTCTTGGTCCAGTTTTCCGTTACATGCAGTCAGTGTGTTCCTGGCTGGGGCGGGCTCTTAGATCGGCCTGTCACAGTGGTGATGGGTGGTGTTGATTTGGGTCCCGAGCCAGATACCCCTGCTCTGCCTTTGCTGGCTGTATGCATGACCTTGAAGCATCCACTCCGTCTCTCTGGCCTGTATGCCCATTTTATAGAGGAGGGTAGGAACCCCTTCTCTGTGGGTTGATATCTGGGTGAAATGATAGAGCGTTCGTGAAGGGCTTGGCACAGTCTGGCACGGAGAAGGAAGGGTTCCGTGAGCAGTGACTGTTCTAGCGAGTGCTTGAGTCAACGGTGAGCCGGGGTGTGTGAGGTTGTGCGTGACTGTGTGGGGTGGTGTGTCCCCTTTCTACACAGATCTGTGCATAAGGACACGTGCGGTGGATGTGTGTGTTGGTGCTCACGTCACACACACGTGTGTACAATGTATCCACGTGTGACTGGGTGTGTGCCATGTGGTGCTAGTGGGCTGGGAGCTACTTCTCCTTTTCTCTGCCCTTGGAGCCTGGGTTGGGGGTAGCCAGAGAATTGGGAGAGGCAGAGTGGAGACACAGCCGAGGGAGTCAGCCTCTGGTGTGTCAGAGAAAGGGGCAGTTTGACAGCCGGGGTAGGAGATGAATCAATGCAAACATGCTTAGGATCGCAGGTCCCCAAGAGGCTGCCTGAATGAATGAAAACAGTCATGGTAGAAGTTCAGGAATGCTGGTGCTGAGGTTGGGGAGGCTTAGGGATGGGATGCCTCTTCTCCCCTTGCATCCTTCCCAGTGATGTGGGAAGTTTTGGCCACCATGGGGCTCTGGGATGGGGATAGGAGGGAGGACAGAGGAGAGCTCCCAAGGGATAAGCCAGGCAGCCAAGGCTGGGGGCTCCTTGGAGTGCACCCCCTCCGGCCCTTGGATACCCCAGCTAATGATACCCCACCTTGTCCCTCATGCAACTCTGTCTGGCACAGCCTGAACCATAGAGCACCAGAGCCTCAGCCCTGGTTTTCCACGGAGGAGCTTGAGGCCCAGAGAGGGACCACCATGTGCTTGTGGTCACACAGCAGGTCAAGTGCAGAGTCGGGCTGCTTGGGCTCTTGCAAAGCCTCCTTTCTTTCTGGGCTAAGCTAATGCTGGGTTTGTGGGCCATGAACGGAGTAGGGGTGGCCCTGGCCCTGCAGCCCTGGTGGGGGATGGACTGGGTGTGCTCCACAGCTGTTGTCCTCTCCACCCCGTACCCGGAAGGCTGCCGGCCGGCCTGCTTTTAGAAGCAACAGCAGGAGATTTGCGGGTTGTTCCCAGATCCTGGGGGTCGGGTGGAGGGAACAGGACTCGGGCCATCTGCTGCCTCCATTGTCCCAGAATAGCTGTGGTAGGGAGGGGGAGCAGAGTCAGCAAGGATCAGAATTGGGATGGAGGAGGGGGGGGGTGTCTGGATTTAACCCTTTGCGGGTCTGTATGGGAGAGTAGAAAGCTGCCTGCACTGTGGACTGATGTGACCCACGTGGGCCCCACAGGCAGGGCCGGCCACAGGGGAGAGGGACAAGGTTGGACCACCCTGTACTGGTCTTCAGGTGCCCCTTGGGCAGGTATTATTCCCATTTGATAGATTAGGAGACTGAGGCAGAGAGAGAGAAGGCCCATGGTCCAGGTCACAGGGCTTAGAGGTGCCAGAACCAAGGCTTGAGGCCGCCTGGCTCTGCAGTGGTCACCTCAGTGTGGGACGACTCTGGAGGGTCGGGAGAGCTCTACTGTCCTTTCTACTCTGGCTCTATGCTCTTGGGCAGGTTACTCCACCATGCACTGGCCGCACCAGTAAAATAGACACAGTGACTTCTATGTTGTGTGCTGTGCTGTTTTGAGATGCTGCACAGAAAGCTCTTGGCACAGGTACTACCTGTCCAATAGACAACAGCTCCCTGGCCTCTCTCTTCTGTTAAAAGGGGGGGCAGATAGGGTGCTGGACTGGCCATCCCCTCCACTCCCCGGGGTCTGGACCACTGTCCGACTCACCTGTGTCCCCACGGCCGCTTCCTTGCTCACTACTGGTGGGTACACTGGCCTCCTTGTTTCCCCTGGTGGATGCCCAGCTGGTTTCACCCGGGTGGGTAATCAGCTTGGGGACACTGATCATTTTTAGTATCACCCCAAAAGGGAAAACCTGACCTTCAGTGCTCTTGCTGGAATGCAATAGGAAGGACACAGCACCACCCAGGAAGTCTGCTTGCCCAAGTAATTGGCCCTACACTGGCCACACTTCTAGATCTAAATACCAGGATCCAGGAAATGGGGGGACAGTGGAACATGTCCAATGACACTGTGAGGGTTCAGCCCAGCATGTCAACAGGGAGATCATTCTACAGGACGAAGGACGTGGTTTCTCCAACAAGCACGATGGCAATCACAAAGCAGGAAGGAAGGACCGTTAGAGGTTATAAGAGATTTGAGAGGCATAGCAACCAAATGCAACACATGGACCTTGTTTAGACCCTGGTTTGAATAAATGGGCAAGAAAGGGCATTGTTGAGAAAAGTGAGGAAATTTGAACATGGACTTTGTATTAGACGGTATTTTTTTTTAAAGATTTTATTTATTTATTTGACAGAGACCCAGCGAGAGAGGGAACACAAGCAGGGGGAGCGGGAGAGGGAGAAGCAGGCTTCCCGCCGAGCAGGGAGCCCGATGCGGGTCTCGATCCCAGGACCCTGGGATCATGACCTGAGCTGAAGGCAGACGCTTAACGACTGAGCCACCCAGGCGCCCTGTATTAGATGGTATTAAGAAATTTTTCATTTGGGGGCGCCTGAGTGGCTCCGTCGGTTATGTGTCTGCCTCGCCCTCTCTCTCTGCCCTGCTCATGCTCTCTCTCTCTGTCTCTCAAATAAATAAATAAGATCTTAAAAAAATAAATTGTTAATTTTCTTAAGTGTGATAATGATATTGAGGTTCTTTTTTTTAAGTTTATTTATTTATTTAATAATGTGTCTATACCCAAGGTGGGGCTTGAACTCATGACCCCGAGATCAAGAATTGCATGCTCTTCTGACTGAGCCAGCCAGGCAGCCCTGGGTTCTTTTTTTTTTTTTTTTTTAAAGATTTTATTTATTTATTTGAGAGAGAGAGAGAATGAGAGATAGAGAGCACGAGAGGGAAGAGGGTCAGAGGGAGAAGCAGACTCCCCGCCGAGCAAGGAGCCCGATGCGGGACTCGATCCCGGGACTCCAGGATCATGACCTGAGCCAAAGGCAGTCGCCTAACCAACTGAGCCACCCAGGCGCCCCCTGGGTTCTTTTTTAATAAGAAACGTTCTCATATGTAAGAGATACCTTCTGAAATACTTATGGGTGAAATGATATAATGTCTGGAATTTTGACATTGAGGGGGGGAATGAAATAAGAATAGCAAAATAGGGGTGGTTGTGGAAGCTGGGTGTTGGGCACATGGGGATTCATTACGTTATTCCCTTTAGGGTGTGTTTGAACATTTCCATAATAAAAAGTAAAATAAAGAGGGTCTGTGGATATTCCATTTGTTGGCTCTGGCCTTCCCCCTTCTCTTCCTCCCTCCCCTGCCCCCTCCTCCATGCCCCACATTCAGGCCCAGATAACATCTGTTCTCATCAGACGCTGCAGTCTGGTTCCACTTCCTGTTCTCCCCAAACAGCCGGAGAAAGGAGAGGCAGACCTTGACTGGAAGCTGGCCCTGCCTGAGTGACTTTTGGCCTCTTGCCTGGTTTCCCCAAAACCTACCCTGATTCTTTTGGTTCTGAGCACTTGTTCCAGCTGCTTTGTAACCCAGTGGCACTCTTCCTGCGCAAAGTCATTGGACACATTCCTCCGCCCACTTACCACTCCCCCTAGTCATCTGTCCAATAAGAATGTACTGCTCACCTCCTCTGGGTGGGGGAGGCATCCCCGTGTGAGAGGTTACACAGATGCAAGACCTAGCCTCAAGAGGGAGCTCAAATCCCAGTCCGGACATATTGAAAACATGGCGTATCTTGTAACGATGATGAAACAAGGCCATGGGGCCAAAGGAGGAAGGACTAAAATCTGGGGGGCTTACAGGGCAGTACAGATCAGGAAGACTTGATGTATGAGTTGATGGATCTGGGTCTTGAGCTGTGAGGAGATCAGAAGGAGCAGCATGTGTGACACACTGCCTTGCAGATAGGACTAGGGAGACGCTAAGGAAAGGTACAAATGCTGGTTATGGTTATGGGTACTACTGTTTTCAGGTACCTACTTATCTCATCTTGCAGGATAAAGGTGTACCTAGCACGGTGTCCACATAAAACAGAGGGAGTACTTTTCCTCCTTGCCTCCCGACATCTCCTCCCGAATGACTCTGTAAATTTCTCCCAGAGCAGAGGCTCTGCTAGATGCGTTTCTGTGCCTCTCAGTATCTAGCACAGTGCTGGACACATAGCAGGCACTTCATGAATACCAATGACCATTTAGTTGAATGAGTCAATTTTAGGCCAGTACCAAGATGGCTGCATTAAAATCTTGGGTGTTTGGTACAAAGGGATTCCGGGGCCCCATCTTAGATCCTTAGAATCCAAGTCTCCAAATAAGGGGCTAGGGAGTCTGTATATTCCCCTGGTTTCCCAGGAGGCTATGAATTGCCACTGGGCTAGAGGACGGAGTGGGGGCTGAGGTGAGTTCAGCACCACGGACAGAACCCTCCCTGCCGCCTCTATCTCCAGAGCAGAGGCTTCCTGGCTCTGAGACCTTAACCATGGCACAGACTAGCTGCATGGCCTTGTGCAGGCTGCACAGCTACCAGAGCCTCAGTTTCCTAATCTGAGAAACGGGAGTGATGACATCCTCCAACTCATTCCGGGGCATTTGGGCACAGGGCACCCAGCCCAGTACCCATGATATAGCTCGAGCACCACTAATTTGCTCACAGACTCCAAATTTATGCCAGGCATGATACCATGAACCAGGTGGTTGAGAGGTGGCACCCAAGGATCC